CTCGCTTCAGAATCCACCTTTTTCGATGGGACTTGGACTGAGTTTGTTAGGAGCTGGACACTTAAACTGCGTCAAGATCCCATTACCTCCTAGTGGACCTGGACAATGCCTTCACGTTTACCAAAATGACCATTTCCTGCGCGACCGTCTCTTTTCTATGTATTCTAACTCTATCTTTTCTTGCAGGCACAAGTGCAGGCCTCGCAAGTTAGTCGCTTATCTGCTGACGCCGCATATGCTGCAGCTGCCGGCGTTGCTCCTAGCCAATACTCCGCGTTCGGCGCTGGACAACTTGCAGGTAATTGTGGAGATTCTTGTACTTCCGTACGTAACACGCATAACAATGAATAAAATCATTGTATCGCTGGAAGAATAAGCTTATCCTGGGTCACCGAGAGCTCTTTGCTGTCTGTGTACAACTTTCTGTCTTTCTATGGGTATCTACTCTTTTTCTCGCTGGCTTTCCTAGATTTTATGGTCAGCTTGACTTTACATGGGTTTGTTTGCGCGCAGGTGCTGTTTTTCTGTTAGAGGCAACAGAACTCCGTGAGGTTGTTTAAAGAATTTCGGTTGCGGAGTGTACAAATCATGCAAACATTTTGAGTGGTTCTGCAAAATCAGGATATTTCTTAAGGTTTCGGATCGCAACCTAGCGGAGGAGCAACGGTCGGTTATGGCAGACCATCTGCGACTGCAACAAACCAGGCAGCAAAATCTCTTGCCGCACTGACGAATTCCAGTAACAAGTCTGCGCTCGCAGTCAGTGAGTACATTTTCATCAATTCGTTCGTTTCAGTAGCTGAAAAGTTTGCTCACTCATGTGCTTGAATTTGCCGTATCATCCATCATTTTCATCATATTTTAGATTCTGCAAACACCTACTCCAACTATGACGCTGCTGTTTACGCTGCTGCATCATCGTATCTGCATTCTAAAGCTACTGGAACAACGAATATGTGGATGAGCAAGAAGCCTGGTGGGTAACTTGAGTATTGATATAGAGACATCTTGAAATCCGTACGAGGTGTACGTAACTGTATCTATACGCCGAGAGTAACTCTTAGGCGCAGGTCGAGGCGGAGGTTTCGGCAACAAACGTTTTGGTGGCGGTGGTGGAGCACAGAAAGAGGCTCAACAGTTCTACTGCGAGGTACGTTTTTTGTCTTCGGTATCACTTTTAGGAAGATAAAAAGCTCCAGAAGTCTAACATAATCAACGAATGTCTGCTATAACATGAGTCAATGTCGTAGGGAACGGTTATGAACAATTTTTCTGTTTTTGCACAATCTTTTGGATGAGGTCGATGAATTTTTGATGATTGTAAAATAGCTCATATCTTTATGAAAAGAAGCTGCATAGACTCTTGTGACTAGATACAGTTAATTCAATGCGGTATCACTTGCAGTTTAGCTTTATGTAGTATTCGAATCATGATTGGGCGAGGGTGCGCAATGGAAAATGCTCTAGATAACATCGAAATAAACTTTTCTTTTTCGTAGCTGCCTATATAGCGCATAATTCGTACATAACTTCCAACTTTGGAAAAAATCGTTTGCTGGTTTATCTTTCGTCAGTATTTCATAGTTTGCGGAAAGTGCATTGCTAGAGTTTTTCTTACGCTTACTGAACCGAAGTCATTTGAGATAGTCTCTTTCTCTAAGTAATTATAAAGTCGGTCGGCTTATCTATCTTTACCTACGTAACCCTGTTTAGGTATGCAAGATCTCTTGCGCTGGCCAATTGACATATAAAGAACACTTGGAAGGCCAGCGTCACAAGAAAAAAGAAGCTTTGGCGAAGGGAGAAAATAATCCTAGTCTTCCGAAGAGCAAGGTATGAAACCATAACTAACAAACATAGGAAAGTGAGGCTAATGTCCGTGCTTTAGGTGTCATTCCGATGTGATCTCTGCAACGTTACTTGCACAGGACAAGATACATACAATGCTCATGTACGAGGTGCAAAGCATCAGAAAACGCTGACACTGTGCAAAAAACTTGGAAAACCCATTCCTTCCACGGAACCCACTATCATACCACCATCCGAATTGGGTGGCGTAATCCCTCCACCACCAGCAGTGACTGCAGCTGCAGTAAATAATAACTCACCGACGAAGAGAGTAAGAGCTAGCATTGAGTGCAAATGCTGGTTTTCGCCATTTTATGATATGTTGTAGGTTGTTGGGATCTCGACAGTGAATTTTGTGGCTGGAGCTAAACTTTCGTCCACAGCTGGACAGCTTGAAGCAAAGAAACAACAAGTCATGCAAGCCGTAGGAAGCGCTGGTACAAAGGCACCTGAAGAACCTACAGTGCAAGCCATCAAGGGAACTACGGAAGAATTGCAGGTAGGCAACACTGGGATATTTTGAAAGAGTAACCTATCTCATTCCTATAGGCACTCATCGCTGCCGAACAAAATTTGAAACCAGTCGGTGAGGAGTTTGTTGAAGCACAACGGGATGCCACTGGGAAGCTGCTTCAGTACTTGTGCAAATTGTGTGACTGCAAGTTTAGCGATCCCAATGCTAAGGAGATTCACCTGAAAGGAAGAAGACATCGTCTGCAATACAAAATGAAGGTACTAAAAAAGACTTGATTTATTTCTCTTTTCGATTTGCATGAGGTAGTACTTTCA